AAAACAGGACAGTAAAATCCAGTGATGTAAAACTTAAACATGTTATTTCATTTAACACATGTCCCACACAGTTATATATGGGAATAGTACAGTCATCTGCATGTGTAAACTTTCTTCCTTTGTAAAATAGCCAAAGAAAGGTACTTTACTAAGGAGGAAAAATGTGTTTTCCATAAGGAGCAATCTCAATAGGATAATCATGCTACTAACAATGTTTTTGGCAGTATAAACTTATTTTCTTTTAAAGATTCAGAGTAGCAGCAAGAAAATATTTTTATTTAACATACACAAAGAGGAAGTCTTTGTTCATATAACGTATAATTAAGCAAGCTGTTGAACTCACTAACACAGGACATTGTGAAAGCCAAAGGAATAAATGGGTTTGAGAAGAATTATGCAATTCATGGAAGATTGTTCAGTCAGCATTTAATTAAGCACAAGGTGTGGGATATAACTTATACCTCAGGAAGCCCCTAAATCATTGATTGCCAGGCATGATGCTAGAGGTGGTTCTTACATTTCTTATCTCACTGTCGGCTCCCAGCCACTATCAAAGACAAATGTCATGAAAGTACTTTGTAGGAAACTTTCCTCGTTTGCCTGTGTTTGCATATTAGGGAAGACTGCTATGGAAGTATTTGGCGCTGGACATCCAAAATACTGAGTCTCCTTACCTGGGTGATTTGGACAAGTAAACTCCTAGGCACTGTATTCATTTCAGGGCTCTGCTAAAGTATTAGTCTTTCCATTACTGTTAAAACTGTGCTGGGATTGTTCAGTGAAAGCTGCTGTTTTACTTATATTGACTTATATTTCACCTAGCGGAGGCAGAATCCTGTAATAGTAGCATGTGGGAAACTCTCAATAAGGGTGCACACAAATCACAGGCATCAAAACCTTAACACACTGAAGAACCATGCTGAAAAACAGCTGAGAGGAACTGGGGAAATTCACTGTGTTTTGTAGAGTATCTTACGATAACAAAAATGTTTATTTACTTTCAAAAAATATAAACAAACACTGCTATTTTTTTGACTTGTGCACTAGTGTTTTGAGTCACCATTTAACAATAGTTTGTCTGTGGCTAAGAGCTCCATCTTCTCATGTTTGCCCAACAGCCCAAGCAGCCAGCTGTTCCCTTCCGCAAATTACAGACCTTCACATCCCTGCGAGTCAAGGTTACAAGTGCCTGCATGTACAATGTCCTCCTCTCCAAACACTCACATGGCAAGAACCGCATTTGTAGTTCCCGTAGCACCAGCGTCTACGAGAAAAATTCAACGAGCCTCTAGGCAAGGCTAAGACTGAACTGCAGGGCTTGGGGGGGGGAGGGGGGGGAGGCTTTTTGTTTTCAGGATTTTGACCTTGTAACCTTTCTCCTGTTGGCAGCAAAAAATCTACACCCAAGTGCCACATGACTGTGGTCATTCATTAGCAGCTTTATTTATAGCGTACTGGCCAAATAATTATGTTTTTAATGCAGTACGTCTCTTTCAAGATCAGCTCTAGCTACTTGCTCCTTCAACAAGATGCATCCTTTATTTCATGAAATGGGAGCCACCCGGGTTCTCTGGATGTAAGACATTCTCTTCTAAAAAGACAGGGTGGCAAAATTTAATTCTAGCCTCTCACTGATGCAGAAGAGCTGCTAGAGCAAGTATCAGCCGTATTGGTGCTTACCTTTTTCAAGCACACAATTCAGAAATCATTAGCAAGACTGGCAACAGCTAATTCAGTCATCATCTCATCCCAAGACACCCTTGGGAAGGCAGCTGTTGAGAATGCAGTATGGTCAGTAACTGCTGAATTTGCCCCAGAAGATCTGCCTGCTGTATCCTAGTAAGAGATTTGTCAGCATTTGCTTTAGGGTCACTTGTGGCCTACAGTGACACAGCAAGTATCAGGTCAAAAGCTAAAACTGATTATTAGCTTAAAATGATCTTCTGTATTGAAGCACTGAGACTAATTCATTTCCAAACTATATTTTACCATTTGCATTTCTGGCTGTTTACAGTAAGGGAATAATTATTAAAAAAAAAAAGCAGCTTTTGAAATTATGCAAATATTTAATATTATTTGCAGTTTAGGCAACTGATTTAAATAAGTGGAACAGAAACATCCTTCAATATACTTCTTAAAAATGACTGCATTAGCAGTTAGGTTGAATAAGTTCTCCCAGGGGTGTCTCACTTCAGTTGAAACGCTATTTTAGGGAAAAGGTATTTCCAATAAAGCTGAGTATTCAGGGTCCCTATACACCTATATAGGTAGAAGTTTGTGGGATCAAGCTTCATCTTTCCTGAGTTGATCAAGGACAAGTGCTGTCAAAGCAGGACTGTGGAGGAGCTGGAACATGCAAGCCAGAGCAGCTAACTACAGGCACTGGCCAAGTTCCACCATCCTCCGCTGAAGCATGTCAAGGAGGCAAACAGGATGTCAACAGCACTGAGCAGACCATTTGTGGGCAGTGTCAGAACTCAGCAGTCATCTCTCCCATCCCTGATCCAGATAGTGTTAATCATGAAATGCTCAGACCACAAACTACAAACTTTAACCGAAAATGTGATGCCAACAATCTCAATACCATCGTTAAGTTTAAAGAAAAAAAAAAAAAGCTGTTTAGTAGCAACATTAAATATAGATAAAAAGTGCATGAGAAAGGAAAATAAACATAATGGACCCCAAAATCAGACTTATTCAACCACTCCAAGTTCTCTCTTACAAAGTAAATGAAGGAAAATAGGCTAAGTGTGCTGGAGTGCAACTGGCAAGGCTTGGAGAAGCCTGTTTGTTTCTTAAACTCTTTCAAGATGCAGCTCCATTCTTAGAAAATCGATGCATTTTTGTAAGATTTTTCCATCCAAACTCTACTTCAAATGGATGAATATGGTTTCTTGTAACCAACCCATTGCCATGCTTTGATGTTAGAAAGTATGCAACCCACAAATAGCAACTCAAAACTGTCCTCCTTTTCTGTTTAAACACTGCTGCTAAGTCTGTGGGACAGAAATTAAACAGTCCTGTTTCTTTAAGTCTCCTGCTTTCATTCCTATGACTAATGAAATTGGATACAAAATGCATTTTCCTGTCACTCCCTAAAGGTTAGGAAATACTGCCCAAGCAATTTAGGTCTGATAAAAAGTACAACAGGTTCAAAGTGAGAAGAGGGTTCAGTTTTTCCCCTGCAAACTGTATCAGATTTCAATCATAAAACATTGACATGCTGAAGTTTGGTTGCAAGCTGGGGTGGAAAGGAACCTCTGAAGACACGCACCAGCCCAGTTCACTTATGATATTAGCAGATCTAGTCAAGATAAAATCTAGCAGGAAAAATACATTGAAGTCAGATGAAAGGAAAATTTTTAAATTATCATTCTTTCACAATAAAAGGGAAAAAGTGAGTCACACTGCCTTCTATCTACCATACCAGCCATGTTAGGAGTTAATTGGAAATGACTGTTTACTATATGGCCATTTATTTGCTTCATTAATAGGCACTGACTTAATTTGGAAAGGCTTTTTGGTGCCATTTTTTAATTAATATTTTTCTAAGACACCTTTATGTGTCTTTGTATAAAAGACATTTGCTTAATTTTCTTCCTTTTAAACACAGCTATTTACTTTCTCTTATGAAATAACTTTTTCTACACTTACTGTGGAAATACTAGTATACATTTCAACCAACAATAGCTGAATAGTAAGACACAGGATTATTTTCCCCTCTGATTTTCTACCTCTCAATTCCAAGTGGAGCAATGGGACTTGACAGCTCTGAGTTCAAACTTAATTCATCATTAGGAAATTATTCAAAAAGCTATAACGAGATAACTAATTTAATACACTTTGCTTCAAGGTTTATTCCTTGGCTTTTTTCCCAGATATAAAGCATCTCTGTGCAATTATCATGCAGATGCTGCTGAAAAGACTTTAAATGGTTGCTGCTAATTTAACAAGAGACATGTTGGCATTAGCCAACAGAAGAAATTAGAGCAAAACTGAAGTTGAATGAAAGCTCATGTGATCCTTAAAAGGAACGTGGTCAAGATATTATAGCTAAATAACTCATAAGCATTTGCTGGTAACTAGAAGTTTTCACCACAACTCGTCTCGTATCACTAGGTCTGTATTGCATAGCGCCAAATGAAAACACAGTGGAGTTTTAAATGCCTTTTGGGATGCATTCAAGTACCGAAACTTAGATTATGCTCCCACTGATTTTAGGGAAAGGTAGGTGCGTAGGTCCCTTTAGCGATCCTACTGAAGCTGAGGGTGCATGTATAGGCTTTGGCCTTTATGCATTGACTTAAAGCTATTATGGCTTGGTTATACACATTTAAAACAAGAACAACAACAAAAGCTTGAACTTTGTTGCCAACAGAAGGAAGGAAATTTTAGAAAACCAGCCTTGTGAGATGGCCACAAGCAGGCATAGTATTTCTGATTCTCTTAAACAGTAACTGCATTGCAAGCTTGCTGGATTATGATCTGTTTCCACAGTAGGTTTTAGGACACACCTGACTTTTTTTTTTTTTTTTTTCAATTGCAGAGGATGCTAAACTGAGAGGAATGGCTGATATACCAACCAGATGGTTGCACTGCTATTCAGAGGGACCTTACCTGGCTGGAGAAATGGGCAGAGAGGAAACTCATGAAATTCAACGAAGGGAAGTGCCAAGTCCTGCCCCTGGGCAGGAATAACCCTGTGCACCAGGACAGGCTGGGGGCCAGCCGGCTGGAAAGCAGCTCTGCAGAGAAGGCCCTGGGGGTCCTGCTGGACAACTTGGCCATAAGCCAGCAATGTGCCCTTGCGACAAAGAAGGTCAATCGTATCCCAGGCTGCATTAGGCAGAGCATTGCCAGCAGGTCAAGGGAGGTGATCCTTCCCCTCTGCTCAGCACCAGTGAGGCTAGATCCAGTGTGCAGGATCCAGTTCTGGGCTCCCCAGTACAAGAGAGACATAGAACTCTAGGAGCGAGTCCAGCAAAGGGCTACTAAGATGATTAAGGAACCAGAGCATCCCTCATATGAGAAAAGGCTGAGAGAGCTGGGACTCTTCAGCCTGGAGGAGAGAAGGATCAGGGAGGATCTCATAAACATGTAGAATTAAGTGATGGGAGAGTGTAAAGAAGCCAGAGCCAGACTCTTCTCTGTTGTGCCCAGGCACAGGACAAGAGGCAACAGGGACAAACTGAAGTGAAGAAAACACTTCACTGTGAAGGTGGCTGAACATTGGAACAGGTTGCCCAGAAAGGCTGTGGAGTCTCCATCCTTAGAAATATTCAAAACCTGACTGAACACAGTCCCAGGCAACCTGCACCAGGTGAGCCTGCTTGAGCAAGAGAGTTGGACTAGGTGATCTCCAGAGGTCCCTTCCAATTCCAACAATTCTGTGATCCTGTGACTTGTTTGGGAGTTCGGGAACTCCTGGTCCACAGGCTCCAACAATACTTTACTTGACCTATCCCATCTGTTACTGCTGAAGCTTTTCTTTGCAGAAAGGCTAATGACTGGCTAATCCAGCAAAGAGAAAAACAGTAGGAAACATTTCCCATAATGCTGTGGCGTAACAGCTGTATGCTCAGAAGAAGTAAACACTCTCATCCAGCAAAGAGAAAAACAGTAGGAAATTGGGAGATAACAAAACCAGGACATCAGACTGTTCATCTGCACAGGCTATAGAGACAGTACAAAGACAGAAGCCATCAGCCAAGGGGTCATTAAGGGGATGCAAAACTAGAGGCAGAAGGAGGACAAAAATGTTTAGGAATCGGGGGGGAGTGGGGATCCCCAAAAAGGAGAGAAAAGACGGTTGGATGGGACTAGCTGCCAGAGAGGAAGGGGACAGAGATGAGGATAGAGGGCCAGGGTTTAGCAGGTAGGCATGCTAAGCAAAAGGAATGAGGAACTAAAAGATTAAATTTTCCTGGGAAAGGGATACCAGGAGAAATAATTTCACCACAACAATAGCTAAGCACTGACTGTTACAGGGGCTCAGTGAAGCTGTGGAACCTCCACCCTTGCAGATTTCTGAAACTCGAGTGGACACAGCCTTGGGCAGCCCGATCCAACTTTGAAGTTAGCCCTGCTGTGAGCAGGGCTGGGATCAGAGACCTCCAGGGCTCCTTTCCAGCCTGGTTCGTTCTCTAGCGATCCTACAGGACTACTGAGTCTGAGCAGGTTCAGCCAAGAGCAGGACTGCTGGCAGGATGGCAGCATACGGAGATGAGAACCATCACTGGGGGAGTCGCGTGAGGAGGGAGTAGCCTCAGTGCAGGGACTTTTCTTTCCATCTTTTACACCAGAAATAACAGCGTGGGAATTCCACCACAATTTACTAAAGTGTTGGGGTGGGGTGGGGGCGTTATTTAAGCTGAAATCCCTCTGCTGTTCAATCCACAGCCCACTACAGTTACAGGAAAGACTCACTGATTGACCTCATCTTATTCTGGGTTGTTTCTAACACTTTTTTTTTTTTTTTCACAATTTCTAACACTTCATTTCTTAAGACTCCCTCCAAAGGATAGTAAAGGCCTTGTTTAAAGATTCAGTATTGCTTCTTTCAAGGACTAAACTGAAACTGTAATTTCTGGGAAATTTGAACAGTTTAGCACCCAGAGCGCTCTGCTCTCACAACCACCTGTGTTTGAGCCCTCTGTAACTCTCCCTGCTGCTCATGCAGAGGCATGGGTCTCCGTACCGTAGGATTTTGCGTCCTCAGACTCTCCTCTTTCTTACAGAACCCTAGCTGACATCTAGCAGGTCTCACTTTTACCATGGAAGCCACATATTTGACTACACAATATTCTTATCTGAGAAAAAGCCTAGAACTGTTCATTTCATAAACCACGTAGCAAGCTAAAAGCCAGTATATTAAACCTTTAGAAAGGATTGCTTTCCCTATGAACATGTTACAATGCAGATCAGTCATGTCAAATGTGGTTCAGTTCAAAAGTTACCGTAAGTTTCACAAGTTATTAAAGTAATTCACAAGTTATTCCAAGAAAAATAAATTATATCTTGTATAAAATAATCCATGGGAGACGCTAGTAAAGAACAATCACTGCTTACTTTCAGGACAACTTGAGTAAGTACAATATATGCACACAACATTGTCAAGGCAGTTCCCCCTCTTATCAGCAAGGTTCAGTCAAATCCAGAAAGCTGTGTCTGGGATCTTTAAAGAGATTAAATAAGTCTGGAGTTTTGCAGGAACTGGATGAGCACTTGATAGACAAATTTGTACTGGGCTATGGTCTGGATCATAAACATTCTCTGCTCCCGCAGGTGTCTCAGCATCACAGGCACATCCACTTTCTGTAAAGTGAAGGCAAAAAAAGATATAAGAATGTAAGTTCATTAAATCCAACAAGCACTACTTCAAATATCAGTTATCTGATTTTAAGACAAGAAAATAGCTGGCACAAGGAACTATATTATAGTTAGATAATATAATGAATTATAACCAACTGTAGTGAAATACTACAATTTTTTTGCACAAACTTTTTCATGGCTTCAAAGAGTAAAACAGTATTACATATGCATCCAATCCTTTTCCCAGTGAAGTTTACAGGAATTTCTGAATTGATCCAAATAGGCAAATGACCAAATACGCTATCTTCCAGTTGTGTACCACCGACTACCTCTCAGCAGCCCATCAACTGAACACCTAGTAAAGGGTTTCTCCTCTTTGGAGGTTTCAGGTTCAATACATCCATTTTCAACTCAGTAAAATAAACCTTGTGTATCATATTATCTGAGGTTCAAGGCTAGATATGTTAGGAAAACGTAGTGCAAAATTTATACAGCCAACTCAGCTGCGACTCTGCCATTCAGTGCATCAATAGGCACTGCAGCCTCTTGCATACTGCTCTCTGATGTGTGGTCAAACTCATTCATAGAGGGAGGATCTGAGAGATTTTACAAGTGGCAAGTGGGCGTCAGGATCATATGAACAAAGGATCTTCAAACAAAATTAAAGTGCAGGCAAATATACTAATTCTTCCACTAAAAGAGAATGGAAGTCACTATCTGTCACTAAAAGATCTAGAAACCCTGGCACGTGACCTCCCACAGCTAAGTTTACACTGGTAAATAATGCTCCAAAAGAAACACATCCATAGAGTGAAACAGTTGGAACTGAGGAACCAATATGCAGAATACGCATTTTGCAGGGGGTTGAATTCAGTGCTAGTCTGTTCCCATGTACTCAATGTCTGTTAGCAGCTGGGACACATTAGGCACCCTCTTAGCACATGTCTTCCAGTTTAGTTTCAGCAAAAAGAAACTCATTACTGTGCTGTGAGACCATCCTGCAACAGGAACCAAAATACATTAAGTGAGGATAGATGAGGAGATCCACTGTAAAAACGCACCCATCATCCCAAATAGCACGCTGACACACGTGCACCTTTATAATGGTCTGAATCAAAAAACGAGTTGTGCGAAACAGAGGGGCTGGTGAGGTAAAGCATCATTCCCTGGAAAATTCATTAGGTGTTACCATCGTATTTCCAGCATTTAGGGAGCAAAAGAACTACTATGTTTCTGTGTTTCATTTGTTAGAACAGGTACAGGAGGAGGTATTCAGAGATCACTGAACCATAGAGCTCAGCCGCCAGGCTCAAATTCAGAGCGTGTCTAGTATGATCCAAGATGGGAGGAGACACAAGTTTACTCTTCCGGCACTAAATGCAAGCACTAAGATATGTGCTCCTTTGATGAAGTAAGTTTTTTCCCCCCTTTTTAATCACTAAAACAATGCTTTCATCATCATTTTAGTACAATTTTTTTTGTGCTTCTGATAGAAATAATTGACTGTTAAAAAAGTGAGGCGGATACATTTCTACGGAGTAAAGCTTTAGGAAGAAGATGAGTAACAACTCTTGGGATGAGTGATATAATGGAGAATTTGTTCTCAGCCTCCTCTACTTTGGGGTAACAATTGTGTGTTGTTTCTTATGTGTTGTAAGAAAAAAAAACTGATGAATATTTATTCTATCAAGCAACACAAACTGCACTTTCGTAATGCCAGTTTGCCATCCTAGAAACAGAACAGGGAACCTAGCAAGTCTGTTGGCTAAGATAAGAAAAATTACAAGTACAACGCCTCAACAATGACAGCAAAACAAGTTAAAATTGCTGTAAAACA